AACTTGGCTGAACTGTCGAAAAGTTCAAGTTGTCTCTGAGCGACTATCTTCACACGCTCTTCGAATGTATTTCGACTATACCAATCCTGAACCTGGAACAACCATTCGATTATCATCTCGACCTTTGTTGGAATGGCACGCCTTTGCCACGGTCAACAATCCAAAGGAAAATGGGTTCTCGGTAGTTATCTCAAATGCAGGCGACTGGACGAAGAAGGTCGTCAACGAGCCACCTCGTGAAGTTTGGGTCCGCCGTACGCCGACCTGCGGTGTCTTACGTATCGCCCCGATGTTTAACAGCATTGTTTTGGTTGCTACTGGTTCCGGAATTGCACCATGCCTTCCAGTCATTCTTGCACAGCAAACACGAGTAACTCTATTCTGGTCAACTCGAGACCCTTTGGAGACCTACGGTCCAAATATTGCTTCTATCATCCTAGGAATGGGGGATGATGCACATATTCACAACACCTCAACTATGGGCCGACCCAACACGCTTCCTACAGTCCTGGACCTGTACAAGAAGACAGAAAGCGAGGCTGTAGTAGTGATCTCTAATCCAAAACTGACGATCGACTTGGTCCTAGACTTGCAGGCTTTGGGAGTACCAGCTTTTGGTCCAATCTGGGATTCATAGGAATTCCCAGGCCACGTATACGAGGTTTGAATAGAGTTACACCATCAGGTATAATATTAGATAATAAGCCGATGCTTCCATCTGTTGCTTCACGGCTTGTAAGACGGTATCGCAGATCAAAGGATTGATATTTTCATCTCAATCTGGTTTCCTACGAAGAGCTAAGTGCCGAGTCCCAAAAGTAATTCTGAGAAAGTCTATCATGGGATATCGTTGATTAAGGGAAAATCGCTCAGGACTACGTGCCGGCACTGCCTCTTTTCAGACGGTCATCCTATTGTACATCAACGACAACCTTGTGAAAACAAGGATAACAGACGGTTAAACGTCTTCCTTCAAGTTTCTACAGCCTTCCAATACGACGTTACTTCTCACCGCCTTTGGTGTCCTTGGCCAGTGTGATCCATCTCATCCTTCGTGATGCAATTCCATATTGCAGATCCCCCCTTCTTACTACTACCTGGCTCCAACGTGCTGGACCCCGGAACCCACAGCCTCAAAAAAGCTTGGGTCAGACTCATCCGGCAGATGTTACATCGACCGTGTGGGTAAGCTTTGCCGGGTAGCCATCGCCTCCATCCTTGCCTAGCTCAGCACTTGATTACAGTTCTCGTACCAAAAATTACTTGGCCGATCATTATTAGTTTGCTGCCTGAAACTCATAGCTTCGGTGTATTTGAATTTTTCAGGGCTTATACGCGTTCTCTGCTAAACCTTGGAGCGGTGGCGGGCGTAGCTATGACGAAAATACGGTTGAAGCCATTGAATAAGTAGTCGAAGGTTCTCACTTAGCTGTCAGTGTCTTAGATTTTACTGCTTTCATCTCATCCCAGCCCTTAAACAAATCTACTATTATTCTCTATAACGATCTTCTCCCTTATCGTCTTCAAAATGACTAGCAGATCTGTCACTGTTACCAAGCGCTATAATGAGCCCATTTCAATGCGACAGAGTTCATTGCAATTCATGCAGGAGAAGCAAGCGACCCATCAGTCTGGTAACGACCCCTGAACCAACAGCACCCACCACAACATGTGACTGACTTGAGGTAGCATACAATGCAGAGACAGAAAGGTCGAGCTGCATGAAGAAGCTCGCTTACCACTTTGTCACATTATGCCTCTTCACCAAAAGTGATATGCCCACTTCCACCGGCATCAATACCACGTTCGCCATCGCAGGGATCCTAGCTGGTCCTGGCACCATCAGTAATGCCGACATCGAGTGGCATGATATGGGTAAGGGCATTCTCGTCGCTCTCTACTTCACCTGGCACTTGACCCTCTGTTTCAATCTCGGAAATCAGCGTCAGCCGCAGTCCGTCATTGAGGATGGCGTCAACAAGCCGTGGCGGCCCATTCCAGCTGGTCGCATCTCCCCTGAGCTGGCACACAAATGGCAGCTAGTCTCAATTGTCACCCTCCTTGCTCTGTGCTATACTACTCTGGGGGCTTGGCAGGAAACTGCCTTTTACCTCTTCTGCACCTGGCTGTACAATGAGCGTGCTTGGGGTGACAAGAGCTGGTGGCAGCGCGCGCTAATGAACGCCTGTGGTATCACTACCAACCGTGTAGCAACCCTTCGGGTAGCTGTCACCGCCATCCAAGCCAACTCTCATGAGAACTTCGAGTTCACTAACAAGGGTTTGGGCTGGTTCCTCGTGTGCGCATCCCTTGTCTTCACTACCATCCAGGTTCAAGACTTGCGTGATCAGGAGGGTGACAAGTTGATCGACCGCCAGACCTTTCCTCTTATTCTCGGCGATGCACCTACACGCTGGATCACAGCTGTAACTGTTATGATCTGGTCACTGGTCTGTCCACTTTACTGGGGACTTGGGGTTGTCGGCTGTGCCGTACCCATCTTGACTGGAACTATAGTCTCAGCTCATATGCTCCTCTGCCGCTCTCGTGAGCGGGACCAAACAAGCTTTCGACTGGTGGCGGCTTGGTGGGTATCATTGTACTTCCTCCCCATGATGAGTGCCCGTGGACTATAGGCTTGGCATTTCGTGCCACTAGGAGTAAGACTTGTGTATTTGGGTATCTACCCACGGTTGGTGATGGCTGGATACACTGTTGAGTGGGATATTAGACTTAGTGTCTTGAGGATGAAAAATATTTGAGGCGAATTGGCTACTAAAGGAGAGACCATGGCTTGGGTAGGTATATGTAGATTGAATTTGCGTTGCAAAGGCTATAGAAGTAAAATTGAAACGAGTGTTAAAGAGGCTCACGAATTCTGCAAATGTTTCAGTTCCATTCCTTGATCAGGACGAATTCCTCAGTTCAGGGTAGAGAGATTATTAAAGTGATGATGGTGAGTGTCGGTCGATTAGCCATTGGCATCGATACAATGATTGGTTGAATGAGTGTCTGGGCTCATTGGTCACTCAAAGTGGGGTTGTCGCGACTCTTGGCTCAAGTCTGATCACGAAAGGAAGAAGTCTATTTAACCCGCTCAACCTCAACCTCTTACATCTTGACATCTTATCAGAATGGGCTTCGCCTGCGACCCTTGTTCCATCAGAAAAATAAAATGTAGTGGAGATACGCCGTGTAAGCAATGCAAAGCGACCTCTTTATCCTGCTCATACGATAGGAAGCGCAAGAAGTCGGGACCGAAAGGGCCCAGGAAGCGTACCAAAGAGGCCATCTTACAGGCTCAGAGATCTTCAAAGTATACAAGAACCGACCTTGATGGTGAAATTCAGGCTCAAGACTTGGCTGAAGCTACTTCATCCACACAGCACAATGGGTCATCGAATAGTTCGCCAAGTGGCGCCTCCCAGAGTCCCCAAGGCGCGCAGGATATGACGATTGTTAGCTATGATACTCGGATACCCATGTCATCCTTCAGCTACTACTTGAACATATATCACGACTGTTTGTATGTTGTATGGCCCGTCATAGACCATGAAGTACTTCTCTCCCGGCTCCGCAACCCCGATAACAAGATTGCATACGCCCTTGCCGCATCAATATGCTCAGCAACTCGAGCTCAGCTTCGCCTTTCGAATGATGATATGGGCCCTTCAACGTACCAAATGGCATACGAAGCCGAACAATCTCGTCTAATGCTCGACTACTCGAAGCATCAGATCATCGATGGGCTGTTAACATGCTTCTTCCTCCATGTCTTCTACTCCAACACAGGACGAATTACAAAGTCTACACTGCTTCTTCGAGAAGCCATCGCATATGCACATATTCTTGGACTTCATCAAGACTTGTTCTACACTGATTTGGGACACGATACGATCCAGTATCATCTTCGCATCGCGTGGATCTTGTTCATCACGGACAGGTGAGTTCTGAGTCTCTCGCTCTCTCTTTCGCTTTCGCTCTCCCGAAACCCGCTAATACGCCTCCAGGGCTCACTCCCTTCAACACGACCTACCTCCTACATTTAAGCTCAGTCCGACACTGCCAGAACTCCATCCACAACAGGACGCGGGGCTTGGCTCAGCATTCTGCAGTTTATGTAGACTATTCCAAGCTTTTGACGACGCCTGCCCTCCAGATGTCAGATCCAACCAGGTTGGCTTCTTGGGTGCCATTAGTTCACAATTGAGGGCGCGGCATCCTCTTCCTCTTTGCGACAATGAGATCCAGCGAGCCGACATCGTTGTAACTGACTCCTGGCTGCGTGTCGTGTTATGGAAAGCGGCTATTCCATATGTTGACGCAAATACCGACCCAAATGATCAAGGTCTAAGTGTCTCGTTTCCCACGTCTGTGGCGAGAGATTTACTGGCGAAACTGACCACTCTGTCCTCCTGCGCTCTCGAGACGCATGGCCCTGGAATGGTGAGAGTCCACCGCATCCTACTCTCGCCAAAATGCTGATCCGAAACAGATGTCGAAATTGTTTGAAGTCGCGAACTCGGTGGCAGACGTCATCATCTGCGCCCCTGACCTCGCAGATGTAGATTCGGCTCATGTTGGCCCCCGAGATATTCTTTGCGCCCTGAGCAGCTTGATCGCCTCGTTGCGGACGACAGCCAACCCTGCGCTTCTCACCCTGTTGCGAGAGAAGATGATGGCCTGTGCATTAGGCCAAGCAGGGCCAGGAAGGCCGTTGCAGATCACGGATGTCCCGGATGATGATCTACAAGCTGAAGAGATGAATCTAGTAGACTAAAATGCTACATCAACGGCCATAGTTCGCAACTAGTAGTTATTAAAGTGTGGTGAGTCGTCAATAGAGTTTTAAGCGTGAAGCATAGTAACTCTTCTCCATCCGGTACAGCATGTCTCCGAACTATTCCAAGTTATGAATATATACAAAGCGTAACAATTCACGATGCTTCTCATGCAAAGCTTCAGAGCCTCCCTCCAACTTAAGTCCCAATTATACGCCGTCAGACATGTTCCGCTCCCCCCGTCATGCTTTCGGCCTCAACTGATTTGCGCAGAACTCCCCTGGGCACTTCGGAATGAACAGGGTCCGCAGCAATGCCGTCAAAGACAACCGCGATTTCCTCCAAAGTTCTGCCCTTTGTTTCAGGGAACAAGAACCATATAGTTGGCAGCATAGCCGTCAATGTTGCGATATAGACGAAGTAGAACTTCCACTGGATAGCTTCAAGGGCGATGGGGTTGACATATTCTGACAGTAAATGTTAGCAACAATCTCCTAGTGTTCGTGTAGATAACATACGATTGAAGAAGCCAGCGGCGAACACAACAGTCAAGTTGATGCTAAGTCCCTTGGACCTCAAGTCGAACGGCAGGATCTCGACAGGGTACGCGATGGACAGTGGCGTGAAGGCAATGTCGTAGAAGCCAAAGAATATGAAAAGGAACGCAACCACACAATATCCTGCGGCTTTGGTGCCATGCTCGGCGAAAACAGCTGAGAGAGCTGTGACTATGATGAAACTGGCCAGCATGCCGCTGGTTGACAGGAGCCACAGTGGACGACGACCATATCTTTCGGCAGCCATGGCGCCCATGGCAGCTAGAATGGCATTCCAAACTTGTAGGCCAAGGTTGATACCGGCTTGTGAGACTGCTTCTGTGACTCCGACGCTCGTCAGGATAGGTGCAAGGTAGTAGGAGACAATGCCTAGCTCGAATCAGTAAACAGAGTTCAGTTGTTTTGTTGTGCCACCTACCGTTTCCAGCCCACTGAATCATGAAACCAACCAACACACAGATCAAGAGTCTGTGGCGGTTCCCCTTGGTCTTGAAGAATGACATGAATCCGATATTCTTCTCCGCTTCGCGCTCTTGATCGATGACTGTGCAGATCTCCTTGAACTCAAAGTGAACAAGCTCATCCTCAGTATCACCATTGGCATGGTACTTAACGAGCATTGCGAGAGCTTCATCACGTCTGTTCTTGGAGATCAACCATCTGGGGGATTCGGGGATAAATGTGAGACCAATGAGTTGAAGGCCTGGGAAGAAAGCCTGGAACAAGACGGGAAGTCTCCAGCTCCAGCTTCCACTCATGTGTAATGTTCCAATAGTAACGACGGCTGAGAGAATGGCGCCCCAGAACCAGATGGCTTGGAACATGTTGGTGACATTCGCGCGGTGTCTCGGGTGAGCGATCTCGGTGGTCAGAGGTGGTGCCGATGTTTGTGCGAAGCCTAGGCCGATACCAAGCATGATCTTAGTGCCCAGGAATGCCCATGGACCATTCGTAGAAGCTTGAATGATAGCTGCTGCGATCATGATGGAAGAGCCCAAGGCGATGGTGAAGCGGCGGCCCATCCAATCACTGACATATGCAGCTGGGATGAAGGCTGGCAAACCGCCTAAGCTGATACCAGCTATGATCAGGCCAAGGATGCTTGTGCTGACGTTTCCGATGTTGTCATGCCCTGAAGGATGTCAGCCGATGTTTGGGGAGAAGCGCAGGAACTTACATTGTTTGATGGTCAAGAGTCCATTCATAAGACTTCCGTCGAATCTGGCAATGACTTAGAATGTTTTGACAACGATATAGAAACAAAGAAGACATACCCGTTGGCAGCAGCCGATGCGAACATGAACCCGATGCCGATGTTGAGCTTTCTCAAGCCAGCATCGTGCATCCAGTTCTCGTTCGTGTTGTTCTTGTATCGCTTGTAGACAGAATTGCCTGGATTTGTATCTTTGGAGGATATGACAGCCATGGTGGCGCCCGGTAGTGGTCGATCTGGTGTTCTTGACGAATACGTGAAGGGGCAAAGAGATTTGGTGGTAATTGGGGTCAGGATTGCTGATTGTCTTGGGGCCTGAAGCATAAAAGAAGAGGCTTCTGATCTGGTCGCTCTACTCTTCGTTGTGAGTGAAGCTACTTTAGATGGAGATTTTGGATACTTACTGGGAGCAATGCTGAGCTTATATATGTGTTTTCCGAGTTGAAGCATCGCCAGAGACCAAGTCACTTAACCATCAGCCCATACGCGACTGGTGACCCTCGGCTTTCGGATCATGAGAAAATCTTTAAGGTCTGGAATAAACTAACAGGGAAGATCACCCCATGGAGGTAAGATGCTGTTCCCCAGCTTTCCTCCACAAAACCCGATGAATTCTCTGGTTCTTAACCTGGGGTTGAGCAACAGGTGAACTGATTGGCGGGAAGAATTTCGGCAAGATTACTGACTCGATTCTTTGCGGTCGTTATGTGGGTCTGCGGTGTCGGAAAGATTCTCGGGAGGTTTTCAGGGAGGATTCTCGGAACAAATAAGATGGAACAGCGCATGTTGGACGCATCATGTGTTCTTCTGCGGGCAGATTCTCGGTGATGACAGCGGAATCTCCGTCGTAGGTTTCTGCGCCCATGTTCAAATAGCCTCCGTCATTCCATCATGGACTCTCTTTCATCCTCATTCACGCAAGCACAATCACCATCAGTCATGCCCTCTGCAACACAAGACATCTCCGGCCCGGTCAGCGAGGCCTGGTGGAAGGAGGCATCTGTCTACCAGATTTACCCTTCATCCTTCAAGGATTCAAATGGAGATGGTATCGGGGACATTCCTGGTGTGATCGAGAAGCTAGACTACTTTAAGAACCTCGGTGTTGACATCGTTTGGCTATGTCCCGTTTACCCGTCGCCTCAGGTTGACATGGGTTACGATGTGGCCGACTACTGCGATATTGACCCGCAGTATGGGACCATGGCCGACGTCGAGCGACTCATAGATGGTTTGCATTCAAGAGGTCTGAAACTACTGATGGATCTTGTGGTCAATCACACCTCAGACAAGGTTAGACAACAGTCAAAGTAGAATTAACACGTGCTAACAACTTTCCCAGCACAAATGGTTTCAAGAGTCCAAGTCTTCCAAAGACAGCCCTTACCGAGACTGGTATATCTGGCGAAAGCCAAGATACGATGAGAATGGAGAGCGACAGCCACCCAACAATTGGCTCTCCTATTTCGGAGGTATGTATTGTCACACGGTCTTGGGCTTTCTCGTCGCTAACATGAGATTCTTCACAGGAAGTGCATGGGAATACGACTCTGCCTCGGATGAGTACTATCTCCATCTTTTCGCCAAAGAGCAGCCCGACCTCAATTGGGAGCATGCTCCTGTGCGTGAGGCCGTGCATGATATCATCCGTTTCTGGCTAGGCAAAGGTGTCGATGGATTTAGGTATGTATCTCGCTTCCAGGACTTTAACCACATAACTGACTTGGCAGAATGGACGTAATCAACTTTATCAGCAAACAAGACGGTCTACCCGACGCCACCGTCAAGATTCCTGGAGCCAAGTACCAGTGGGGTGACGAGCATTACGCTTGCGGTCCTCGACTACACGAGTATCTTCAGGATATTGGCAAGATCCTCAAAGAGTACAACGCCTTCTCCGTTGGCGAAATGCCGGCAGTTCAAGACCCCAAGGAGGTCATCAAGAGTGTTGGCGAAAGCCGTGGTGAGCTCAACATGATCTTTAACTTTGAGATGTAAGTCAATATCAGCCCGGACGAAATGCATCTATTCTGACTTTGTGCAGCGTGGATATGGATCATGGAGACGGAGGGAAGTTCTCGCCACACAAATGGGAGATGCAGGACCTAAAGAGGATTGTCAACAAATGGCAAACCTTTATGTACAAGAACAAGGGCTGGAACGCCTTGTACCTTGAGAACCACGACCAAGCAAGGACAGTGTCAAGGTGGGCCTCCGATAAGCCCGCCTACCGAGCGCTGTCAGCCAAGATGCTGTCCACGTTCTTATGCTTCCAGAGTGGTACAGTGTTTGTATACCAGGGACAGGAACTGGGCATGGCCAACATGCCGGCGGACTGGGAGATGACTGAGCATCGAGACCTGGAGACATTGAACCACTGGGAGGAGTAAGACTTGTCACTTTCCGTGGTGACTTGACCAGTCGCTAACTTATGATCAGGTTGAAACAGATAACGGGTTCTGATGCGGCAGTCCTCGAGATCGCGCGCAAGGAATACCAACTCAAATCTCGCGATCATGCGCGAACTCCAGTACAGGTAAGCACACACGCTTTGTAGAATCGTGAAATCGTCTGACATGATGCCAGTGGGACTCCTCAACGAATGCGGGCTTCTCGACAGCAACGCCATGGATCAGAGTAAACGACGACTATAAGGAGTGGAACGCCGCAGCTCAGGTCTCGAAGCCAGAAAGTGTGTTTGAGCACTGGAAATCCGCACTTGCGCTTCGAAAAGAGCTGAAGCACATCATTGTCTATGGAGACTTTGAGCTTCTTGACGAAGAGAATGCTGATGTCTTTGCGTATGCGCGGTCGAATGGATCACAAAAGGTTGTCGTTGTTTGTAGCTTCCGAGACCGAGAGATTTCTTGGTCCCCTCCAGTCGATTTACAGTCGGGCAAGGTTCTGCTTGCAAACAATGCGGAAGTTAATCTGTCGCAGAAGACGATTAGTCTTCGTCCCTTTGAGGCTTTTGTTTGTCAATTACATTAGAACAGATATCTTAACCTGGAGACAACCAGTGTTTCAAAGAATCGGTGCTTAATTTACACAAGACTATAGTGAATCAAGTCGCAGAAATAAAGCTTATCACCTGGCTTGGGCTATTCCAGAGTCGTATATACAGATTGGTTGCCTGAATGCAAGTTGATACTGAGAGAGAGGATCATATGTTCTAGCAATATAGGTAGTGATCCGTGTCTCACCTGGCACCAATAGCTATTCCTCCGCTTCGGAGATCCTCCCCGAATAGCTCAGCTGGAAGAGCGTTCGGCTGTAACTGTTAACTGACACCGAAAGGTCACTTGTTCGATCCAGGTTTCGGGGAAACAATTTTTTGACATATTTGACAGCAGTCAAAACTTGTGCCCTCAACTCATTATATAACAATTAGGTAGTTATCAATTACCACTACCTAATTGTGTGTTCCTTTTTACGTGTGAGCTTGATTGAGTGGAAGACTTGGCAATCTGTAAGAGCAAACTGGGCCGATGTTTCTCCGCACACTTGCGAATCTCCTCCTTGCGTAACGCGTTGTATTTTACGATAGCATATGTGGTGCCCGCGTAGTCTCAATGAGCACAGCGAAGATACAAAACGCTACTGCGCCAATTGGACGCTATCCAGTCCTTTCGGTTACACGATGTTGTCGCCCTACGCGTGTGAAGCTTTGCTACTGACGTCATTGTTTCCGCCCTGCGCCAGATCGGTTTATTAACCTCAAACTTCGAAGCAGAGTCACTCTGCCTGCCTATCGGGATGCGCTTCGCACAGGTTACTGCTGCTATTCTCTTTACGTTTATCTGTTTTGCGTGCTTTGGTAACGCGACGAAAACTGCTCTTTTTGCTTGCCGGGTGTTGGCACTGCCGCGAAGATGCTCATGACGCCCCTCGGCACTGGGGAAGATCTCGTGCCTCTACCGATTACTTCACGGCGGCTTGAGCAATCGATCGCCTGAACAAGTGTTTGGCGCCTCAGAAGTATGCAATCTTCAAACGAGCAAACACCAGAGGCACGGGTGAATGTCGTTTGCTTGGCCCACCCACATCGCTCTTGCGTTTACACTGGCACACTTACGTTGGCAATAGCGTTTGCTCCATGAGTTCAATATCCAGGCTTCCAAACCTTCTGCTCTTCTCTCGCCGCGTGCGAAGTATAGAACGTTTGCTTATAGGTGCCCGCGCTTCCGACCTACGTTGCCACGAGCTCAACCCTTCGAAGCGACGAAAGATCACGGCGAAAACTCGACATCGGGTGTTCAGGGATGCAGCGATGCCTAAGTCTCAAGCGAAGAAGTCTCCTGCGAAGAGCCTTGACACTTCGAAGCCAGGCGGAAAAGCAGGAGTACTAGCCCCGTACGAGTTCAGTGGGCGTGACTTGATCAACATTAGCTCGTTCGACCTTGCGCAAGTTCAGGAATCACTGGAGCACTCTGATGTACCGTCACTGCGACCGCAGCTCAAGTCCCCCAGACAATGCCCTCGTGAATTAAACCACCCCATGCACTGGCAGCTCCTACAGCATGAATTCTTGATCTCGCGCCACAAGGCTTTGAGGTCATCAGGTAAAGACCGACTGGAACTCCTCTGAGCAATCACTAACACCTCCAGTACCTTCTCATCCGTCCACATTACCTGCCCTCGACCCAGCTTCGAAAATTCCCGAAACTCTTCCGCTCGCCGAATCAGCCAGCGATTCACGCCCCCCGTCGCCCGGTGAAAGCTTGACGGCCTCTACAAAACCTCTATTCCCAGAAATCCGCGTATCCCCTCCCGAAGAAACGCCCAAAGCCTCCAGTCAACCGCGCCCTGCGATCGAGGACCCCGCCTACCCCTGGGAAGAAGAAGAGCTTCAAGCTCTGGAGGACCTGCGAAATGAACAACGTCGCTTGCACGAAGAAACCCTCAATGCGATGGGGCAAATGGCCTACTGGTCCTTCAGAGCACAACGAGCTGCGAATCGAGTCAAGAAGACAATGTTTGAACTTAGGAGCTACATGGATGAGCTTCTGGCTGAGCAGGAGGGAGTTCAAGGCCATGAGGAGAACGAATGTAATATCATGCCTCTGTCTTTGACGAAGTGAATCCGTCAAATGATGGATCATGGCAGGCTTTGCTACATAAGTAGATCAGTAATCACGATTAATTGTAATTTATTCCGCGTGCGACTAGACTTCCACTTGTTGAAATTTTCTTGGACTGCAAGGCTTAGAACATAGCGCTTTTTTGTGACGAAATTTCGTGGGTACACGAAGATTCCAACAGAAAACCCCGAAAGCTAAGAACAAGCCTGCACAACTTAAACGGCATTGATGACGTCGTTAACTTTTTGACTCAACTTCATGTCAATCTAAATTAAACTCAATTTGATGTGCTTCACAGCTGGATCGCGCTTCTGTAGCATCACGATGTCAACTTTCGAGGTCGCTATAGGGTGGGTTACAACTGTGCACGCTTTGAATCCGGCGCCCCCGATGACGGCTCTTACACAGGCTTGCAAATGTCTTTTAAGCTGTTCAGCCGCGTCAAATCAATTGCTATTCAATAAAAGGATACAGAGCAGCTTTGCTTTGTTTCGGCTTATGTTTGCGCATTGATGGGCACCTCTGGTCCTGTGGCCTGTCGCGCCTCTAAGTACGTGATTTGTCCAGCATCGACACCAACACAACCCAAGAGCAAACAACTGGGACAGTCTCCATGACCGACAAAATCAGACGACAGATAACGAAATGCAAGGTGCGCATCTGCAAATCGATGATACCAAAATCGTCTTCATGTGATGTCTGCCCCGCAACGCCGGCTGAGGTACCCGGAGTGATCAAGCGCTGGCATTCGGACATTATGCCTTTTACAGAAGGCGATGCTCTACACAGCAAACAAAAGTGTCGGATCGATTGTCATGGAATTCCCATGTATCTGCCTCTATCCAGAATTGCCTTTGTACAGCCTGATGTGACGCGTTGGAAGCTCATTTGTCGCGATATCTTGGTTGTGCGACATGCAGCACCCGCTCCATTTCCAACCACCTGCAGCAGCCAAACGAGCAACGCGCATGCTCAATTGATGTCGCAACCGACGGTCTCATAAATCGACATACACAAGCGATGCCCTTTAGCTGTCGAGATCTGTCAATATGGAAAGGGACGTTTATGTCGTCGTGGGGTGCGCAAGAGAAGACGCGACTGCTTTCGCGTTTTAATCCAGGTGACTTTGTTCTCGCTGAGCACCACACGATATACGGCAGCTTGCTACGTTTGCTGCTTGAACACCCAGACCGGACCTTGGACCAGCCCGAGTGTGAAAGCTGTGTCCCAGGCCAGCTCAGTACATATGCTTGTATGTGGCAGTGACACCAACAATGCATGGCTGGTGGTGGCATTGGCCATCAGCATCGTGGTTGAGAGATTGGCCGCGGCTCGTGTGTGATGGTCACAGCTACACGACGCTGAGGTTCCAGTACCCGACGTTACAGTCAATGCGACATGGATAAGCAACAGACGGTTACACTTGTTTGCCAGCCAAGATGGTACACAAGCCGTTATTCAATATGGCTCTGACGCCCCAAGCCACGCGGGACAATAACGCGGGGAGTCCCCTGTCGCGTACCTGGAGATCTGAGATCACCAAAACGCTGCGAGCCTCGCCAAGTCCAGCAAATCGAGAAGCGACCGCTTCTCTGTTATCTTTGTTCCTCCTTTTCTTCCGCTTCTTATTGCGTGTTTGAACCAAGTCCTTCCGTCCGAGTCCCGATATGCGCACACATAGCCTTGCCGTTTTACTGCCGCGTCGCAGCAAGTAGCCGTCAAACGGAAGCCGTCCCGAGCCAACAACGCGTCCTTTCTTGCGCAGACAAGAGCAGCTTCCCGATAGAAAACATGCTACGGTTTATCTGGACGCGATGATACATACAAGGCGGAGAGACTGAGGAAATAAGAGTGACAGGAGTCAGCATGGCCTTTGTTCTTCAGGGTCAACAGCCTCTCCCAAGCACCATCGTCAATACACGCTCGCGATCTCGTCCCCTGTCTTATTCCCTTCGAAAGTTCATCACCAAGTTCAAACCACTAGTCAGCTACCATGGAAAGCGTCCCCAATGCCTCTGAGAGTTCGCCGCGACCGGAGAACACACCCACGTCGCCCCAACGAATAAATCGACCGTCGAATAGTGCGGCTGGTAGTAGCTCCAGACAAAGCGAAGGCAACAGGTTGATTGACAACCTCGCTAACTCACTTGGATATTTCGATGGTGATAGTATGTCGAGCCTGGGCGTTCCCCATCGGCCGTGGATAACGATTGGCCGTGTTCAAGACTTACTCACTTTTAACACTAGGACAACGCTCTCGTGAGAATTCACTTAGGCCCAGTGCGCGGAGAGGCGCGACACCGACACCGACACCGACGCCAGCACAGTCTGCCAGTAAGTCCTGGGAGCATACCTACTGCCACTACCACTGCATCCGGATCCCTTTCTCAAAATACGCTCGGGGCTCATCAAAACACAATATGCTGACGGTTCGCAATAACAGATCGAAAGCTGACCTACCCTGGCGGTCGGCCCGCGACTGGTGATTTCCTCATCCATGTTGTGCATAGGGAGATGGACCGTCGACGCGAGTTGCAGCCGAATCCGACTTATATATCGGAAGAGCGGTTTCCCATTGAGGAATTTCTGGGGTGGAGGATATACGATGAGGATAGTGTGGTGATTCATGTGAGATGGGCAGATGACAGCCCTGATACTGAGGAGCCAGAGGAGATCATGCACATCGACAGTGCCCAGACGCTATTGAACTTCTGGAGACGGAAGGGTGGTCGCGATTGGGCAACTCAGGCAGCTGGCCTACATGAAAACCGCATCTTAAGGGTCCTTAAAAGCAAGGAGTCTAGGAAAGACAAGGGCAGTGAGTTGCTCCTCTGCCAATGGATTGGGCTCCCAGCAAGTGACCGTTACACCACTTGGCTGTCCGAGGAGGAGGTCATGGATATGGCCCTGGGTCAATGGTTGGAATTTAAAACGGGGGTTAATAATATCTTCGGTTGAGATGCTGGCAACTGTAGAGTCATGCACATATTATCTACTCGTCGATGGATTTCTCGATCTCTCTTTGGCTCGCATTTCATTTGGGCTGTTGGTTATTTGATGTGGTAGTGCGGTCGGTTGGAGACGGTTGAGCGGTGGAGCTGTTACTTAATGTTACGGGGGATGCTTCAAGGCGTGCGTACCGTACCTATCGCTTCCTCGGCCGCACCACTTATTACACTTTCTTACCGGTTTGCGAAAATTACAAAAATAGTCGCAAGCGAACAATCAATTGGCAAGTCATTGG